GCATTTCTCTTGTTCACAAACGACTTAGAAGTATTTGCAAAATGACAGTTTGCAAATTATATAGCAACAGTTTAAACTACCATACAATCCTAGAGTCTAACAAATTCTGGTTTATTTTAGGTACTTTTATCAGCGTAAGATCTGTGGACAGGATGAACAACTTGGGCTTAAAAGCACTTACAACTTTCGTGGCACTTTGCATAAAGCATTTTCCTTAATTCTCTGTGAAGTATCACTTCCATTGTATAAAGGAAGAAAGTGACCCCAAGATTCAGTTAGTTAAGGAGCCGGGCCGGAGCAAAACCGGCCTCCTACTCTGATTTTTTCACTGGGAGGAGGTCATGAGGATTTCGTGTCCCCTTCTACGTGTCATCTTCACCCCATCCACCTGTGTCAATTTCCACACGCGTTCTCCATCCCAAATGGTATGCACCTCTCCAGCAGAGCCGCCACAGTCCTCTTTCCCTGCCTCAGTTTCCCTAGCCAGGGCTCCAAAAACAGGGAAGGAGGGTGGGAGAGCGTGAGGCGGATAAACGCAGGGGTAAGTCTCACCCCGGCCTGAGGCCTCCAAGCGTCGTCCTTGGCTGGCTCCGGGGCAGAGCAGCGGAGCGGGACGCAAACCCAAAGTTAGCTCCTTCCTCCGCCCTCCCCGGGGACGGCCTCCTCGGCGCTCGCAACGACGAAGCCAGGCTGTGGCGAGGGAGGGCGGACAGGCCTGTCCTGACCGCGACGAATAACATTTCCTACAGCGGTCCTGCAACTTGCAATCTAACGGGCTGGCGTGTCTGCGGGGAGGGGGAAGAAGCGACAGCAACATTTACCTCATCCAGATCCAGCCCGGCCGCTTCCGGCCTTTCCGGGTCACCCATCGCGCAGACTCCGCCGAAGCTACAGGCGCTGAGGGAACTGAGCTAAGCAGGCTACCTCCAACTACGACAGGCCGCAGGTGGTCCGCTGGTCCGCTGGTCCGCTGGGTCCGCCCCGCCCCCAGCGCTAGGGACCCGGCCGGCCCCGCCCCGCCGCGCCGGCCCTGCTTTCTCGCCGGTCCATCGAGTGACTCTCCCAGCGCCGGCCTGGCCCCGCCTCCCCCACCTCGGGGCTCCGCCTAACCTCGGCCAGCCCCGCCTCCCCGCCTGCGGCCTAAGGGAATCTCCCCGCCCGGGCCAACCCGCTTCCCCAACCTGCGGCCTTAGGGATCCTCCCCGTCTCTGCCCGCCCTGCCTCCCAGCCTGCGGCCTTAGGGATTCTCCCAGTCTCGGCAGGCCCCGCCTCCCCTGCCTCGGGGCTCCGCCTATCCCGGCCAGCCCCACTTCCCCGCCTGCGGCCTAAGGAAATCTCCCCGCCTCCGCTGGCCCCGCCTTACTCTATTGCACCGCCCAGTCGCCCGGCTTTCCCCTGAGGGACGCCGCCGGCTCTGGACGGCCCAGCCTACTCCTGCTGGCCCCACCTCACCGCATCGGTCCCGCCTCCTCCGCTCGCCCGCTCCGGGCGCCCACTCCTGAGGAGATCGCCTAGAGCCCTCGCGGTCTGTTTTTACTGCCGGCCACGTGAGGGAGTCGGCTCGCTGCCCACCCCGCCCGGTCCCACCTCGCCTCGCCCTCCCCGGGTTCTAGCCACCTGGTGCGGCAGGTGTCTTGCAGGTCGGCTTGAGATTCCCGAGCTCACCCTCGTGGTGCACCAGGAACACGGTGCTTTGCGCTAGCCCGGCCTGTCCTGAGACACTGCGGGAGGCCAAGAGAACGCGCTGTTGCTGTGTGAAGCGCCGGGGACGGGGCAGCTACACCGCCAAACACTTCGGTAGGGAAAGGGCTAGCTGGTTTCGTGCGTAAGCAACTGAAAAGGGGAAGTGGCTGGGGGAAAGTGTGTGTGTGAATGAGGGTGAGTGAGGGGGAGAGAGACAAGTTACTAAAGTCAGGAAAACATTTTGAAAAAAAAAATTGTTTTGAAAAAAAATAGTTTGGTCTAACAAAAATAAAATGGAAGAGAGATTTAAGTAGTTTGAAGCTGAAAGACTGACGGGATCTTGCCGTGACCCGAACAGCATGCACCTGTTTTGTGGATGGCTGAAGGATGGTAAATAGGATCAAGATCTCACTGTAAGCGTTGAAAATGCCGAAAGCTCTTTCTCAAACCTGCCATAGAGTGGGGGTAGACAGTCCTTCTTAAAGCAACTACTGGGGTCAAATGCTGAGTGAAATTTTTTTAATCTGTGAACTTTAATAGCCACATAGATTCTACTAAGCAACTGAGTCTCAATTTACTATAGGCCACTTGGCAAATAATCAGATTCATTCACTTAATGTCATCAAACAATATTGTGTGTCGGGCATCATGTTTAGGCATTCATGATACAAACATGAATGAGTTTGGTGAAAAAGAATCATCGTGGGCATGCATTCTGGTTCCCTCACTTGTTAGCCATGCTACCTTGGGTCAACCTCTCTGAGACTCAGCTTTCTCATCTGCAGGGTAAGAACAATAATCCCTTCCTCATAAGGTTGTTGTGTGAATTTAATAATATATTACTTGTTAAAACACTTATGGGGTGGGAAATTACCTTGATGCAATGGTAGCTTCCACGTACAAGTCAGGCCATCCCAGAGGGTCATGGAACTCGAGACCAGCCTGACCAACATGGCAAAACCCCATCTCTACTAAAAATACAAAAATTAGCCGGTCGTGGTGGCGCATGCCTATAATTCCAGCTACTTGAGAGGCCGAGGCAGGAGAATCGCTTGAATCCGGGAGGCAGAGGTTGCAGTGAGCTTAGATCGCGCCATTGCACTCCTGCCTTGATGTCAAGAGCGAAACTCCGTCTCAAAAAACAAAACAAAAAAAGTCCTTGGCTTTGCAGTCGTAAACGAAATACATTACAATTCTTCAACTGAAGAAGATAGGCAGAAACTGTTATGGTGTTTTGTTTGTTTTATGTGTGGGTTGTTTTTTGTTGTTGTTGTTAAAATGGAGCAAAATAACGAATATAAAGATAAGACCTCAATGAGCATGGCACTAATGGAGAAGGGATTCTTCACAAAACCATATTTCTTCCCCCATCCTGTCTTCATTTGATGTGGATCAAAAGATAACATTGGCCATTTGGTTAAAAAATGCAATACGCTTTTATGCATTATAACTATGGCGTATACAATATGCCATAAAGACTATATGAAGATGTAGAATTCTGTTACTCCTAGAGATCTTGTAGTTACACATTTGTTTACATAGTTACATTGTAACTAATATATACTTTACATACAATAAAGTAATGGGGAAGAGGAAAATGAAAGGATAGAGAAAATTATAGTAGTCAGGGTGTGGTGGCACCAAATTGCAGTTTTCTAAATGAAAATACATTCTTGGTACCTAAGAACAGAGTTCTGTATTAAAGTAGCAGACTCCTTTTTCAGTCAAGACCTCCTGTCCTTGGAACACATTAATTGTATCTTTAGCCTCCCTCTCCTACTTTACAGGTGTGTCTATTTCATTGATTGGTTGCACATGAAGTCTAGAATCTGATCAGCCTCATTGCCTAACCCTGTTCACAATAGGCTTTCATTAATTTACTAAGCAGTATATGCCTTTTTTTTTTTTTTAAAGATGGAGTCTCATTCTGTCACCCAGGCTGGAGTGCAGTGGCGGGATCTTGGCTCACCGCAGCCTCTGCCTCCCAGGTTCAAGTGATTCTCCTGCCTCAGCTTCCCAAGTAGCTGGGATTACAGGCACCTGCCACCACACCCAGCTAATTTTTGTATTTTTTTAGTAGAAACGGAGTTTCACCATGTTGGCCAGGCTGATGTCGAACTCCCGACCTCAAGTGATCCGCCCGCTTTGGCCTCCCAAAGTGCTGGGATTACAAGTGTGAGCTACTGCGCCCAGCTGGAATATGCCTGTTAATCTTAAACTGCACCACAGACCCATTCTGCCCTGCCACTTTCAAATTAATAGGATTGTTGTTCTCGATCTTGCCTCCTTCCTTGGGCTTTCCGTCAGCCAGTCTTCTTAGCTGCCACTTCACAAAATGGGTGTCAGTTCTGTGCCAAACAAGCATACAAGCTGTACCCTATTAAATCATTTCAAAACATAACAGCAAGGGGAAAGAGATTGAGGGGACTAACATATTTTGGTTAGGATGTGGGAAGGGGAGAGAGTGGAAGGATTATACCATCTGAATCTTAATGTTACTGTTCATGTACTGTTTGATGCATCAGCCTTCCTTGCTGGTGGAAGGACCATATGGTCACTATGAGGACCATAGTGAGGATGAGCAAGAGTGCTTAGCAGGTAGAAGGTGGAGCCAGCACCCATTTTTCTTTTGGAGAACTGCTGGAACCTGACTCCAGCTATAACTGGATTTATAACCAGTTATAATAAACCTACTGAGCAGTTATGGATGGTATCTGTGTTTCTTGGACAGAGCACGTGTGGGGCCAGAGTGGATCTCACCAGTGAGTGGCTGATTTAGGGATAACGTAGTTGTCAATCTGGCAGTAACATGATCATTCCCTTATGAATATTTAAGATTTACTGGGGGCTGGGCACGGTGGCTCATGCCTGTAATCCCAACACTTTGGGAGGCCGAAGCTGGTGGATCACCTGAGGTCAGGAGTTCAAGACCAGCCTGGCCAACGTGGAGAAACCCCGTCTCTACTAAAAATATAAAATTAGCCGGGCGTGGTGGTGCAAGCCTGTAATCCCAGCTACTCAGGAGGCTGAGGCAGGAGAATTGCTTGAACCTGGGAGGCGGAAGTTGTGATGAGCCATGATTGCGCCATTGCACTCCAGCCTGGGCAACAAGAGCAAAACTCCATCTCAAAAAAAAAAAAAAAAAAAAAAAGATTTACTTGGTCTTTCCAGCCCTTTTAATCTAAAAATGGAACTCTCATGTGTTCCATTATTTTTGTGTATGTTCAATACACATATGTTCCGTTCATCCTATTTTTAACATGCCTCACAACATATTTATTTATACATAATACATCTTACAAATTTCATTATGTCTAACAAGTCATTTGCTCCCATACTTAGTTTCTGTCAATTTCTGTGGCAGAATTGAATATTCTTAAATAACATAGCAAAAACACACAACAGTACTTAGAATAGTGTAGTCTGGATGAGTTTCCCCCAGGATGTTCAAAGTTATTGGGAGAGCAAATGAAAACAACAACATGTGCAACTGAAAGATCTCAAGGAGTAAGAGGATTCTGCATCTTCATATGGACTTTATGGCATGTTTTATTTTCCAAAAATGGCCATACACTATTTCTGGTACCATATGCTGTTCCAGAACTTGGATACACCTCCCATTAAAAGGTGATGTCTAATGCGCTTTCCTTTGCATATGGGCCATCAATACTAACTTTTTTTTGTTTGTTTGAGACGGAGTCTTGCTTGGGCGCCCGGCTGGAGTGCAGTGGCACAATCTCGGCTTACTACAACCTCCACCTTCTGGATTCAAGCGTTTCTCCTGCCTCAGCCTCCTGAGTAGCTGGGATTAGAGGCACGCACTACCACGTCTGGCTAATTTTTTGTATTTTTAGTAGAGACAGGGTTTCACCATGTTAGCAAGGGTCGTTTTGATCCCTTGACCTTGTGATCCGCCCGGTGACCCATTTCTCAAGCTTGATGTCTCAACACCCCTGCCTTTTTTTTTTTTTTTTTTTTTTTTTGAGACAGAGTCTCGACTCTGTCGCCCAGACTGGAGTGCAGTAGCGTGATCTCAGCTCACTGCCATCTCCGCCTCCCAGATTCAAGGGGTTCTCCTGCCTCAGCCTCTGAGTAGCTGAGACTATAGGCACGTGCCACTATGTCCAGCTAATTTTTGTATTTTTGTAGAGATGGGTTTTCACCATGTTGACCAGGCTGGTCTCAAATTCCTGACCTCAAGTGATGGGCCTCCCCTGGCCTCCCAAAGTGCTGGAATTACAGGTGTGAGCCACCGTGCCTGGCCTCAACCCCTTTTAAATAAAAAAATTTTCACAGCCACTTTGATACTGACTTAAACTACATATGTATTGTTACTTAAGTATGTACAAACCTAAGACCAGTAACAAACTCCTTATTCTTGGAGCTTTACACAACTAAAAGTAGATTTATAAATGAAATACAAACAAGACTATAGAAATGATAAAATTCCAGTTTGCAACCAAAAGCAATGAATGATGATGTTGCTTTGCTGAAACTATATTGCATCAGTGTGAATTTTATAGTGACCATTAATGAAGCATGTTTCTTTTTGCATCCTAGCCATGGGATAGATAACTTTTTCTATAACTCTTTTTTATCAGTTGCCTTTCATAAGGAACAAATGTGTCATTTACATATGAAATTCCATTCTTTAAATTTTTGTCTATTTGACATAAGTGCCATCATAAATGGTTAACCAAGTAATTCAAGATACTGCATATATATTAAGAATCAAAATAAGATGCTTGTGGAAAATTGGCAGATTCTGAACCCTAGTTTGAAAACCACTAAACAGGTCTATATTTAATGAGCCATTCTTTTATAATTCAGGAAGGCCTCCAGTGTGAAGGAAGGTGAGAATTTTGGAGTTAGGTTGGTTTAGAGCTAATTGGAATAGGCCAAGTGCAGGATAAAGCAAGCTTGAAATAAGGCAATGGTAGTGAGGAATGCAAGAAGAATCCGTGCATGTGAGTTAAGTAAATGTACTCAAGATGACTTGATCAGTGGTTGGATATGGACTTTAGGGTAGAGGGAGGATTCTAGGATGACTATAAGTTTCTTTTTTCCTTCTTCTTTTTTTTTTTTTTTTTTTTTGAGATGTAGTTTTGTTCTTGTTGCCCAGGCTGGAGTGTAATGGCACAATCTCGGCTCACTGCAACCTCCGCCTCCTGAGTTCAAGCAATTGTCCTGCCTCAGCCTCTCAAGTAGCTGGGATTACAGGCATGTGCCACCATGCCCGGCTAATTTTTGTATCTTTAGTAGAGACGAGATTTCTCCATGTTGGTCAGGCTGGTCTCGAACTCCCGACCTCTGGTGATCTGCCTGCCTCAGCCTCCTGAAGTGCTGGGATTACAGGCATGAGCCACCGTGCCTGTCAATGACTACAAGTTTCTAATCCAGAGACTAGGCAGTTAGAAGTGCCTTTTGCCAATGAAGTCTTAGTAGGAAGACAGTGAGTTGTTTGGACATGTCAAGATCATGATTCTCATGAAATCCAATTGGGGGTTTCTAGTTATGTGGTTCAGAACTGATGGGCTCAGCCGTAGATCTGATCCAACTGTGACAACCTGAAAGCCATACTTAGCAACCCTTCACATTAATAGTAAGTAAAGCAGTTTTTGCAAAAGAATTAGCAAGCAATATATATTTTTTCTAAAAAATTTCAAGTTCAGTACAAAGAACATTTTCCCTCTTAACTATTTCAGAATAAGTTGCTAATATGTCTAGGCTAAAGGCAGAAAAAAAGAAGTGAGGCAATTTTCTTTTACTCATAAGTGTGAGAGCATTGGAAAGACAGGCGTTTTGGGTCATAAGAGTTGGATAATAAGACAACACTTCAAAGGTGCAGAGTTCCAGGTGAGATAAAATCAACAAGTTACAACAGTATGTTCCTAAATTGCATTGAAGTTGGTCATTTGAATCCATTGAATGAATTTTAACATTCTACTGGGCACTGGAGAGGAAAAGGTAATTGAGATGCAGTTCCTACACTAAAGGAACTTAGAGTAAACGGTAATTGAGATGGAGTTCCTACACTAAAGGAACCTAGAGTAGAGGAAAAGGTAATTGAGATGCAGTTCCTACACTAAAGGAACTTAGAGTAGAGGAAAAGGTAATTGAGATGGAGTTCCTACACTATAGAAACCTACAGAGTAGAAGGGGAAATCAAGCAGACACATTATTCAGAGGGAGTACAAAGAAAGAAAGACAGCTTTGTCAAGGTGGAGGGTGGAGGGCAGGTCAAGGAGAGCACCTCAAAGAGGTGGGTAAACCGGATTCTGAATTATGAATAGGAACTAACCATTCCAAGATGAGGGGCCATGGAGAGTGGGCAGTAAGGTCAGAGGGAGCAGTATTTATACAGTCTCCAAGGTGACAGAGGTCATAACCTACAAGGGAACTGCAAGTCTTTCAGTATAACAAGATGGCAAGTAAATATAAGGCTGTAAAGCATGATACCAATCATGAAGGGCCTTGTCGAGTTTGAACTTCATTTTACATAGCCATCTGTGGAAAGTCAGTGTATTTTAAACAGGTGAGGGAGTAAAATGGTTAATATGCATTTTAGAACTTGTTCTGCCTCTACATATTAAAGGAAACAAAACAAACAGAAACCAGTTAGTAAGCTATTGACATAATCTAGGTAGAAGGTGGTGGATGTGGAGAGAAGTAGATTAACTCAAGAGTTCAATATTTAGTAACTGTAGGGCCTGATGGTTAATATGAACATAGGGGTAAAGAGGGAATTGAATGATTCCACGTTTCTGATATGGGAACTAGATAATTTACTGATTCATAAATGATTTTTGACCAGGCATTGTGGTACACACTGGGCTTAAGAGAAGTGAACAAGGATAGAGTTTCTGATAGCCTCTGCTATTGTGGAGGGTCACTAGGAGAAGTCAGACAGTGAGCACGTAAACTAGTTTTGGATAGTACATGGATGGACCAAGAGTGGTGAGAGTTGGAATATCTGTGAAGCTGTTAAGGTGAAGTCATAGCTGTGGGAGGGCAGGGGCCCTCTTGTTACTGTACTTAACTTGCATTGGTTTAGGGCATTAGCAGTAGGGGAAAGTACAGAATGACCAAAATTTGCCCAGAAACCATAGTTCTTTTTCACTTTCTCAGATCACTTAAACACTTCAGCTGCTGTACCTTAAACTTGGCAAGTTTTTGCCTCCCTTAAACAAGTGTCCCAAGATCTGCTGAAGTTTTATTTTAAAAATAAGAGAATCAGTGTTTTACAATGCTTCCAAGAAGTTCATGTGATCAAGAAAACGTACATCTCATCCAAGTCAAGGACCATAACTTTTCTATATAGTGCTCTACTGATGCACTTATTATAGGTAATATAGTGGTTCCAGATATTTGCCACCTTTTATAAATAAATTCTTTCATTCAAAAATTATGAGTGAGGGCCAGGTGCAGTGGCTCACGCCTGTAATCCCAGCACTTTGAGATGCCGAGATGGGCTAATCACCTGAGGTCATGAGTTCAAGACCAGCCTGGCCAACATGGTGAAACCCCGTCTCTACAAAAATACAAAAATTGGCCCAGCATGATGGTGAGTGCCTGTAATCCCAACTACTCAGGAGACTGAGGTGCGAGAATTGCTTGAGCCTGGGAGGCAGAGGATGCAGTGAGCCAAGATTGCACCTCTGCACTCCAGCCTGGGCAAAAGAGCGAGACTCCATCTCAAAAAAAAAAAAAAAAAGTGCTTACTTTGATCAAGGCCCTGTATTTCAGGTTACAGAATTTCTTTTAACATCTTAAACTTTATCAACATTGGACGTATCTTTTTAAATGCATGCTTCTCCACTTTCTTCCAGAGCATATAGAACAGTTTTGAGTGGGTAACTATCCTGACGTAAAGTAAATGTTAGCCTTGAGTGCTATGTTTGAATTGGGTAAGGCTGATGGCATGTCATCCTTATGTAGCAGGTGCAATATTTGCAGTATTCAGACTTCTAGACCTGGTGCTAACCAAATGTTTCTACATTAAATGGCTTAATTCTGTTGTGTTTTTAAATGTTTTCTAGCTTCCTTGATCTTAATTTCGCTATTTCTGGTCTGTGTTAAAGCAGGAACCTGATGATCAAAAACTCTTAAGAATTAAACCCTCTCCTTCTAATCACTGTACTTGGACTTCAGTGCCTATATTTTGAGGTTACTTTGACTTTTTTTTTTTTTTTTTTTGAGACGGAGTCTGGCTCTATCTCCAGGCTGGAGTGCAGTGGCATGATCTCATCTCACTGCAACCTCCGAATCCCTGGTTCAAGTGATACTCCTGCCTCAGCCTCCCAAGTAGCTGGGATTACAGGCACGCGCCACCACACCCAGCTAATTTTTGTATTTTTAGTAGAGATGGGGTTTCACCGTGTTAGCCAGGATGGTCTCGATCTCCTGACCTCGTGATCCGCCCGCCTCGGCCTCCCAAAGTGTTGGGATTACAGGCGTGAGCCACGTCGCCCGGTTGACTGTTTTGTTTTTACTCACTCTTCCATACCCCAACCTGTTTCTTGGTAGTTGAGGATCACTATGACTGTTTTTATGTAGGCAGAATTTTTAAGAAAACAACACAAATTCAGGTATTTGTTCCATAAAGGTACTAAAAAGTAAATGTATTAAAGGTGATTGTCATATAAGCCTTCCATTTCTACAGGTAGTAACAGTGCCTGTGATTTCACTAGACAAAACTGAACATATAAAAACGTAGTCGGCTACCTGGGAGCCTGAGGCACTTTGTTTACAGATAGTTTCTTAGGGCTAACTCAAAACACATCTAACCAGAACCATGCCATAAGCTTGCCAGAGAATCACAATGCATTTAAACATCATAAATAGCCAAATTTCATCTTCCCCATTGAAGACAGCATTTCAGATACAAGTACATGGGCTGGTAATGTTTTTCCTGAAGAGATCCTACTTGTATCAAAGTCAGCCTGTAGCTGATTTAAAGTTTAAACACTGATTTAAAGTTTAGCAGCTAGAAATAGAGTCTGAAAAAGATTTAGAAAACTGAGTTATTTTACCCATGAAACACACATCTGCCCTTTTAGAGCAAGCAGCTCTTTATACCTTATGAGAAAACTTAAGAACAAAAAGTTAGCTTTTCACTTTAAGGTACCATGGATGATTTTAGACAGTTCTCATATTATCAGAGTTCAAATTGTTATCCTTGGGGATAATTGCGCAGGACAAAAGTGTTTTTTAGAAATATTTAGCAAAAATGTATGAATTACTGCCTTTTCATAATGCAGCCAGGACTTTCATTGGAATGTTTGATTATCCTATGATCAACTCACTTATAGCTTCCACAGAATAGTACTGCACAATGTGTAGTATATATAAGTTCCAGAATGCTTGGAGTTGTACCTCACTTTAGCACTAATTAGCTGTGTAACTTTGCGGAAGTTGTTTAACCTGTGTCTCCATTCCTCTTGAGGATCATAATAGTCTCTTTCTCATGGGGTAAAATAATGTATGTGGAACACTCAACAAGATGCATGGCACATACTAAGTACTATGATAAAAGTAATGTAGAGAAACAGAAGATACTTTGTTTAATCCAAGATACCTTGAGGTAAATTTAAAAGTCACATTTTAAATACATTCCTATTGTTTTTCATAAAACTATCACTTCTGTGGTAATCAAATGGTGTTTAAATAATCTATGTTTATGCCTACTTATATAGGTTGATATAAACAGTAAAAATATTTTCATTCACTACCCAAGCACAGTCTATTGAAAGCACTTCAACCAGCCCCTTATCAGGAGGAAGAATCCAATCTAGGACTAGTTTCTCAACAGATGTACTTTTCCATAGGTTGTAAGTAGTTGTAAGTAGGAAAGGTTTGTCTTTCAGGAGCTTTCAGCGGGACATTTATATTTGTAAATAGAAAGGAAATATTCTTTGGGCAGTGTTTCACAATCACCTGGGATAATCTGAACGAAGATTTCTGGCCTCTACCGAAGACTTACTGAATCAGAAAGGAGGCAAGAGGATGAGGAATGCTTAAGAATCTGCATTAACAGACTCTACAACTGAATCTTACTACAGACGCATGGAAACTACTGCCTCAAGGGATTATCTCAACTTGAGTTTAAATATAGGAATTGCTGACTACCTTTAAACATGTAAAAATAGTAGCTTTATGGGAGGGATGTTGTTTGGGGGCAGCTACTAAATAGTGAAATCATTCCTTTAAAATACCCTCTCAAGTCTGCCCCAGTTATCCATTATTCTGGGTAGTCTTGGTATTCAGATGATTTAGGGAAAAAAATAGTAGCAAACTCTGAAAACACTCAGTAAAGTTCATCCTTGGTCTTCTCTTCCTAAATTTGTTTTCAATTGTTAGATTTAAACACTAAACAAGACCAAAAGAGAACTTTATTTTACATGTCTTTATTTTACATTTAGAACCATTTTATGATTTACTTAAAAAAAAAATCTGTTTTTAATATTACTAAAAGTATTTTTTAACCAAAATCTTGATTTAGGAAGACTTAAGACATTGTGCATTATTTTAAATATTTTCATTTCAGTAACTATTAAAAATAAATTCACAATTAGGGTTTCAAATGTCCTAATCATACCTAGTTTGTTCTCATTTAATATTTTATCAATCCCATCATGTGCATACAGAGGTTAAGGTGATATATAAGTTTTATATCTTTCAAACACATTGATGCTAATCAGCTCGTGATCTAATTACTATTTCATTTATTCAGAAATAGCATTTAGACATAAAAACCAATGTCTCACTTTGTAAAATAACCTTTGGCTAATTTACACACATCTAATACAGCGTGTTATATAAGTTTTAAGTAATACAATGAGTCACTACTATCATTCAGCTTTAAATATTTTTAGTGTTAACAGGGCTGAGAATATCATGTGGTTCAGTCTTCTGAAGGAAGTTATATAATAAAAGCATAGTGCCTTTGAACATGAAGACTATCCTCAAGGCCAGAAGTCCTACAAAGGAACTGAGAGATTCCAGAGAATTGCTCTCCTCATTTTTAATATATAAAGTGACTGTTTTAAGTCACTTCACTGAAGACTTAGTGAAGAAAACAGTGTTATTATGCCACTGAATAAAGCTACTTAAACCAGAGTAATTTTGGGATATTAATCCTAGGCTACATAATTAATGGGTCATCAAAAAAAAAACCTGTCAGTTATTAGGTGTAAGTTAACTTCCTATACCAAGTAAGGGGTCACACTTCACTTCCCCCATTTGTAAAAAGAAAAGGTGGCCAGGCCAGTGCCATTTAGGATTCTCTGCTAACTGTAAAATGTGGACTGATTTTCTTCTGTTTCTTATAGTCCAGGTGTATATAAACTTCCAGTTCTTTAAATCAAAATTTTTATGCACATAGCCATGTCAGTGTATTGCCCTTAGTTTAAAAATGTACAACTACATAAATAAAAACTATTGTTTCTTCAATATTACTTGACATTTCTTCTGTAATTTCTTTATTTAAAAAAGTAAATGTAACAAGATACTTAAAAAAGGCTAGATACAAAAGTAGTTAAGCTGCTCACGAACATTTAAAATTTTCCAAAATGTATCTTCAATAATCATGATCTTATAAAACATTTTACAGTTATCAGAAAGTGCCCAGGCTGAGTTTACATAACTGAAATACCTTAGTACAAATGTCTAGTTAGAACTGAAGTGCAGTAACCTCTTGACTGACTGCTCGTTGAAATAGGGATACAAAGAAAAAGTTGATTGTGATAAAAGTATTGTGCATTGGCCCCATCATATGTACAAAAAAAGTGCCCTCACTCAAATGAGCAAATTACATGCAAAATATTAGTGATATCATTTAATATCCTAGAGCTCAATGCAGTCAAACCGCAATAAAAGTGGTTTTTGTAGGTAAAAGTGATTTCATCTCTTAAGATCTGAATGTCGAACTTTTTTACAAGTTCCATATACATGATACACAGTTGCAGCCAACCACAAATTAAACACCATAAAAAAAGTTAAAATGAAAACACAGAACATACTTAATTTTTTATTTTGAAATTCCCTATTCCCTCTATACAAGAACCTTTGCTGAAACAGTTTCCACAAAGGCAGCAGTGAATTTTCAGAACATTTACATTTTTTCCCCCTCAGCAAAAAGATAAATCACAGTGTAAATTATGTTGTTCTGCTGTCATCTTTGGCTGGGGTTAGACCCAGAAGTTGGTGACTAGCAAACCAATATAGCCAAATGTTGCTAGTGCTCCTCAGGCCTTTAAGCTATAAACTGAGAAAGGAATGTCTGCATTTTATCTCTTTAAGGTACCACCAGGGGGGTATGACAGCATTAACTTCCATAAACTTTTATAGACAAATGGAAAAAATCTACAAAATTCGCTAGTAATATTACACAGCAATACACACTTTTTATACTCTACACAAAACCAAAATTCTTGGTCTTAATGGCGAGTAACAATTTCTGTTTGAGAATCTGTTTAGAGGAATAGAGTGGGACGTAAAGTCGAGAAATGCAAGTATTTGCAGTAGGAAGATGTTGGTCATCTGGTGGTCTTATTGTGATTGAGGGCATAGGCTGGAATCCTTCTTCACTGGCTGGCAATGATGGGCTTGATGTCCAAAAGTAAACCTAAACAGGAATTTAACAGGTTAGTATTTAACTCTTAACTCTGGCAATATATACACAAAGCCCTATTGTTATGAAAGGAGATATTATTTTGAATTGGGTTTTAAATATATTTTCTTATACTAAAAAGGAAAGGGATCATTCATACCTCAAGACAGGTTTTTGTTGTTTTTTTTTCCCCAAGGGAGTAAGTCCAGAGTAGAGGAAAAAAAGGTGACTTTCTGTTACAGAGCCTCAGTATTTTCATCTGTAACATGAGGCTGTTGGACTAAATGGTTTCTAAGAGCCTTTCTTGCAGCTAAATTCCATAAACTGTCTATTAGTGGAAAAAAGGCTACCAAACAAAAGATATGGTCTTAGGTTCAAAACTCACACAGGTTATCTTAAAAAGTTATTTTGCATTAAGGAGCAAAATAAATAATAAAGCAAATAATAAAGCAAAAAAAGTATTTACTGCTACATTGTGATATGGAATCATTTTATAATAGTAATTATTGGGGAACATCTATGCATCAAAATTCATGCAATAAGCCATGTTAACACTAAGTTATATCATATATCTATAATAAAACTTTGTGCAACACAGTGTAAATGATGCTCAGTAAATGTTAACTTACGCTTTTTAACTTAACCAAGGATACGCCTCCCTGAAATATTTCACTGAACATGTAACATTCCTCATCAATCCATCCCTTCATACATACATATGCATGTGTCTCTCTCTCTTAAGGAAAAGCTTTTTTTTAAATCTAATCATTTTAAAATGCACAATTTAACAATGAAGTATATCCAACTTCCTAGAATGACTAGGAAACCTAAACAAACTTATGATTTCCTGAAGCACAGTTGCATGGGAAAGCTCATCTAGAATTCTATATAAAGGGACAGAAAAAGAAAAAAGAGAAAACCTAAGTATCAGGATCTATAAAATCTGAAAAGAAATAGAAAACTGGTACTCTGGAGATGAAGCTGATCCAAACCACTCATTTCATAGATAAGAAACAAGCTTAATGTAAAGTGTTTCTTCAAGGATGAATGTGGTTAACCAGGGTAGATGACCTCACTGCTGGATCTCCAAGAAGTTGGAAGAAGAGAAATACTTTTACTAGTGAATTATACACTCCAAGAGGGAAATAAACTGTAGCGTTACCCAGTAACTCTGGAAACCTATAATTTGCAGGACTAATTAATTAATGGGAGAACTGTTTCAGAAACCCCATTCTTATGTCCTCTAGATGCATCAGGATGAAACCAACAATATGTGAAGGATGACTTCCCAAAAAGAGGAGAAGGGTAAGGGGGAGGAAGATACCATGATATACTGCTGACACCCTAAACACAGATTTTCAATAAGAGTTTAAGGTTCACAAATTAAAGCTGTTGACAGGAAATTCTGAGGTCTTCATAGAAGGTTTTCTTTTTTCTAAGATTGAGTCATTAGCAAATTTTTCTTTCAGTAGAAGGCAGAAACTCGTGAGATTTAAGTTGGCTGACTGGACTGAGGAAATACTGGTTTAAAAACGGCAGAAAATTAAAACTAGGGAATAGATTAAAACAGATAACTTAGAACTTATACCGGATAGCCAATCATTTCTATTTCTGTTTTTAGTGGTTCTTACAGACTTGATATGGCCTTTGTCTTAAGGAAACAAGGTGCCCTGAATCTAAAGACTGACTAAAGGTGGCAGAACTTAAGCTATTTAGGTGATCCTGAAACCAACAGGGACAGTTATGGTATATGGCACTAGTGGGATCTTTAACAGCCACAAGACTGGGGAAGTCAAATGCTGACCAATTATATCAAACCTACCTGGTGAACAAACTAAGTCAAAATTACCAGGGTGGCTAAAAGCTGAGAAATGAACTGGGTGGCAGTTAGGACTGCTGAACAAACTTATCTCACCATAGCAGAGAAATATTAGAATACACTTAAGAGCCATGTAAAGATGAGTTCCCCTCCTTCCCTCCACCACCTCCAAAATAAACTCTTGCCTGAATGAAGGTAACTGGGAATCTGCAAGTTTTTTCTTTCCTGCACAAGTAACCACTTCCCCCTTATTCAAATAAAATAAAGGATATATCTAGAAATCTGATCACTTTAAAATATTTCCATGAGTGGTGTAGTTTAGAACTAAGGCTGGTTAGACAGGGGAAACGTTCCAGGAACCATGAAGAGTATGAGTATAGAAAGGATCTTCCAAGGTTTTTAACATAAGGAATGTCCTTCCAATTTCTACAAGAAAGTCAGCAGCATACTGCCTTTCAAGATGAATGGGCAGGATGACTTGGTTATGGTTTTACTTGATGGGTGGACATCAGTTCCACTGAGAGGCAGACTTTCCACTAAGATCAAAGCTGCTGTTGTCTAATTTATGATTCTAAGTTAGCTGGGGCTCTGTACTAATAACATTCTGAACGATTTAGTACCCACATATCACCATTAAGCTACTCTCTTCCTAGTATGCAGATAACAATCAAGATAATACTCAGAAATTCTGTCAACACTTGGCACTAGTCAAAAGGATTAAGGATGTATACCGGGAGAAGCATAGGTAGGCAGTACAAGAAAGAAAGATAAAAAGCCATGTTGCAACAATAAACTGTTATCTTCTGGGACTAAGGACAGCATATTAACAGCTAAATGTACTTCACTCTGCTTACAGCTTTAGTAATACTTCAGATATTGTTATAGAGCAGAAAAACAAAAACTGCCTTATTTGTGACCTTCTATAATTGCCCTACCCCAAATTAAAATGACCAACCATTACAAACCTAAAAGGCCATCATACATGGTATTTTTAAATTTTATATCCTTCTACAAATCTTGTGAAATTTTGTGAAATAAATTTTAACTTACAAGATCTTGTCGTTCTGTCATGCTCATCTTCTCTACTATTGACCAGAACCAACGCTTGAACTGCAGAAGCTTCTCAGCATTTTCTCCTAAGAATGAAGAATGTAAACAAAATACACTATACCAGTTGTTGTTATTATCTGTAGAACATTACTAATCTTCTTATAATAAAAGGATGCAAGATTAAAACATTATTTAAGACTTGGGGGGAGTGTCTAATTCCTAATACAGGAAATTAATAGCATTTGCATAATGTAAAACCTCTACAGTTCATTAGTCAATCCTGACTCAATATGACCAAAACAAGACAAATGAACCACCAGCCTTAAACTTGGTATTTGCATGACCTTAATCTCATCTGTGTGTCATTATTCTTATGATCTCAAGAAATGCAGATTCTCATTCTTTCACCGGGTGGGGAATGCAGAGAGGGGAGACCAGAGATTCTGCCTGTCTAAAATGCTTTCAGATGATGCCAATGCTGCTGATCCGAGGATCATACTTGGAGTGGCAAGATCTTAGGCAGTTTCTTTCGATACTCTGTCTTCCTTCCTAAATTTTTGGTTTGTAAATGAGACAAATTCTTATTAGTATTAAAAACTGTATTACAAGGTAGCACAAAAACTATTATAATTTATAATTTGGCTGAAGCTGCTTGCAAAATAGGAAAAATAAAGGGGAAAAAATCAGTACCTTTGTGTACATAATCTTGGAATATAGGTATAATCCTTTCACAGAGAACTTCTTGGAGCTTCTAATGTACAGTCACAGCTAAAAAGCCTATTCCTAGACCATAGGACTTTCAAAAGAAAGAATTGCAGCAAATCAAACACTGGAGACAAAGGTTTTTCTTTCAAGAGGATTATCACTACCACTCCTTATTCTTCCTAGATTCCTAGAATCTAGGAAGTGTTTGTGTGCTACTGTGTTTTTAGAAGTGCGATTTGGGTCCAGCTCTATAAAGCAATCATCATACAAAT